TTAGGAGGCAGGTGAAATAGGGAAGATGTCAAAGGAAAAGTACGTCGCAAACTTGTGTTTGGCGCGCAGATCTTGCGTCGCCGGGTAGTATGAAGAAGAAGAAAATGATCTTCGCCGACGCGACACCGCGCAAAGAAGAAGACACGAAAACAAAGACAATATATGAGTTGAGATTACAGAACAAAAAGAGCACAAGTGAAGGAAACAAATCGGAAGGGGAAATGGGTTTAGGATGATGAAGTTGAGAAGAGATTGAGGTTGAGAGAGAGATAGTTTTGTAGTTTCATAGGCAGTGGAAACCCCGTCCTGGCCCGACCAATCACAGGCCTCCTATCTACTAGCCACATTGGACGACATTGAGGAAAGGGGGATTTGGATTTGGATTGATCACCATTGATCTATGAATTTATTGATTCTTTGCATTGTAGTGATCTTTAATTGTCCATTCTCTTTGTTCTTGGATTTTTACCTACTCTTCTACAGACTTTTGTGCCATTCGCAACACGTCACATGATACGTACTTTCAGAGTCGAATAATAGCGTATCTCCTCAATAGCGGGCAATTGAGGCAGGTAGTGGAAATTAGTGGGACCAACTTATATGCACTTACTTCTAGGGAACATTCCGTAGCCAGTCTCATGGACTCGACTATATCCATACCCGATGAGCGAGGCACAGCCAAGCGACAGGGAACGGAACGCCAGCTATTTATCTGTATTATGTTCAAATGGTACCAAGGTAGTATAGATATGCTCGTGGGTGACTTCCCTCGATCCACCCCGCCCCCGGCGCATGGTCTCCATGCCTTGTGCCGCGGGGATAGAGAAGTGACGCCTCATCCCGGTTAGGATATATAGGCCAGAATCATTCGCACATTGTCACCTCTCACTGCATTATTTCTATAGTATAGACAGCACATAGGACGAGTGCAGCATATAAAGACCTCTCGACAATTGTCTCCTGTCCATATACCACAAGCAGGTGCAGCAGACATCCAAACCCAAAATAGCTATAGATAACAAGAAAATTGTTCAGCGCCAGCCTCTTATAGCCTACGGCATCGAATATGACGCTATTCTAGTCGAGAAAGACCATTATACCAACCGGCCCGCCATCCGCAAGGATAGCCGCTCATGTCTCATTCGTCTAGACGACATATTCCAACTCTCCGGACTCGTTGGATAGAATCCGAGGCCGAATGTTGACGAGACATTTTATATTCACTTCACAATTGTCTGTGGACAAGTTGGTGAGTTGGATATGGTAGGTTGTCGCATTCATCTAGCGCCATCTACGTCTTTAGGGACCGCCACGCCTAATCGGGCTGTCGCCTTCACCGCCGTCTTAGTCCTCCGCTACCTGGGTGGTCCCTCAATACCCTCAATACCCTCGTCCTCGTACGGCATCCTATGGAAAGGGAGGTCAACAATAAAAGGGAGCCCTGTTTCGTCTGCTTTCGTGTCCTAGCTTTCTCTTTCCGGATTGGTGCTCACTGCCCGCTCCCTTTTGCTCATTAAGTATCTTTGAACATCTATATCTACGGCTTAACCGTAAAAACAGCGATGAGACTGACCAAGTAGGCCCCGGGGCAGAAATGCAGACTGCAGTTTCCTACAATTAATCCTTAGCGCCATACCTAGATATCATGAATAATATCGCTGTAAAATGCCTGTCTTATGAAAGTCTCGCTATTAAATATCACTACTGATGAGTTAGGCGTTCTGTCTTCCTCCTGCTACCATCTTGTGATATATGGAACCTGTCACCCGTGGATGTCTCCAACTTTCCGGTATTCAATCTAAATCTCCCAAATGCTTCTCCTTTTTCCATTGCTTCAGATCAAAGAGACATTCCTGTAGTTCATCCTGTTGTCCATTCCACACAAAAGTAACCCTTCAATATTCTGCTTGGTGCTATCATCATCCAGAAAGTCAATCAAGCAAGGTCATAGCAGGTATTTGTCCGTCTCATAAGCCGCGAGTCGATCAAGCTGCGTCTGCGATAAGGCTTCACACGCCATGCCATTGACTGAATGAAGCGGCTTTCCAAGAAGGGCAGGATAGGGCCCCAAAGCTTGATTTCAAAACCTATCACTCTAGCACGACGCATGACTGGGGGTGGCTTTGACGATTTAGAAAGCCTATGTGGATCCATTAATGTCCCGTAGAAAAAACAATATTGTCTGGAAGGGGTCTCAGTCCGCACGCCAGCTATCTTCAGCAGAACTGTCAGGTGCTGTTTGCTTCTGCCTTCCAAGGTTGACGCGTCTGCTGAGCCATTGTCTTCGAGGAATCTGCGGACCATCAGGGAGGGTGTGTTGCTCATTGTGCGAGCGTGCAGACCTGACCTCAACAGACCAGAGTAACCGTGGTCGGGTCAAGGAATGCGAGTGATGATACTGTATTCTGCTATCCTGTGCAGTCCTTCCAAGGTTGAAGTCCGGAGATATTACGTCAGCAGTAGACCTTCCCCGAGCGGCAACCAAGGTACCCCATCGAGACGAGCCACGATCTAGATTCCGCTGTATTCTGCCCCTTTGTCCCGCCTTGGCTTGTTTGAACTGTTCACCATGTTAGACCCGTGAAAATCACTAGCAATAACGTAGAAATCGCCGGGAAGTACTCATAATATAGTCAAAATAGTATGTAGTAAGTATTAGGAACAAAAAGCATAATGGCAGGTACATACAAGGTGGGCACAGAATGCCCAGAAACATGCGACATACTACAGGGACTACACACTCCACACGAGAATTGAAGCAGTGTCGCACAACAATGTTTATCGAGAAATAAAAGTCCAATGTTAATTCGACCTGACAATATTCAGTAATATGCATTCCTTGTGTGTCAATTGTGTTTGACATGCTAAGCACCTGCCCACATCCATCTCTAAGTTTATATGTCAAAGTCCATTTGATTCGAAACTTCCGCGTTTAGTGGTATTTTCTATGTTCTGCCAATTTGATTAACTTTTACAGCGAGGCTTCGAGGATGTGCCAGCTATGAACCATACAAGCTCTCTTGACCATTTGCTTTTGCTTTGCATTTGGGTGGCGCTGCTGGAAGCAGCATATCGAAAAGTGGATTCGAATCCTGCATTGATGGTTATCCTTTATCCCCAACTCTAATTTTGCTAAAACATAATATCAATCTGGCAAGACCAAGGAGCGCAACCTAGATAAGCTTGTCGGGTGACCACCTTGGAAGTATCACAGAACTTAGACCCAAAGAAGAGTCAATCTTCACATCATCCAGGTCGAATTTCCAGGCCTTCGCAACCCGACTATCTGGTTGATATCCGACACGAGATAGCCATGCTAACGTACTCGCATCAGCATTGTTCCGAAGACGAATAATAAACCGGCAATAGCACTCCATACGAAAGCCCAGTCTTCAAAAAGGGCATACGTTGGGTTGCGTAGCCTAGCGATATGAGAAGCCGATGGAATTGTGCTTCATCCATCACTGTTGGTCCGCCCGATCTCCGTTGGACATCGTACATCCGGTCATTCCAGTTATTATTTTCGATTGTGGCTCGGTATTGTGGGATGTGATTGGAAATCCATTGTCCTAGTTCATTGCCTTGATTTCAGCGGCCATAGACATACTAACAGAGAAGGGATATCCTTACCGGAAGTAAGCCATGGAGGTACATCCTGAATTTCCAATGTTTTCAAATAGGGCCAGTGCAAGGAGCCTATAATAGGCTGGCCTTCTCCATCCAAAGGAGACAGAAAGTCAAACGAAGAGTGGTTCTGTGCAATTTCAATTCCCGAAGGTGAGTGCTGAGATTTCACAAATTGATACTCATGCTATCAATGCCCGAAGGGTGACATCTAGTGCAGGCATACTATGTTTCCACGGGCCGTCCTTCGAGCCGTTATAATGCAACACTCCTAGGCTGCTAGGGATATTGCCGAGCAAGGAAGACAATGCTATATAACTGTTAAGGAAAATGCCTAGGCAAAAACGCGTGAGAGAAATGAACATGGCTTACATGCTCGACGTCCTTGTATATACTCTAAGTAATCCGGACGGACCCATTCATTGAGGTCCAGATCTAGTGATGATAGTACCCGGGGCGTCTGCCAATTTCTGTTTAGGAAAGAGAGCTTATCAATACAGAACGTGCACTAGATATCGCTCCGGCATATTGTCGACAAAGCGCGCCCGATATGGCGGGATCGGTTTATGGAGTCTACCGTCGTCATCGAAAGAACGATATGCACTAGCGGTAGGGCATGCGAAGTCTCTGGTTCCATTATAGACCATCTATTGTCTCGAGATACTCGAAGCCCTAGATGCAAGCTGAGACGGCAACGCTGATTCCACGAATGAAGCGTTTGGAAAAGGTCAAATATAGCGGTCTGGAAAGCGAAACATTTGCCTGCCTTACTTGGTTGCTTGGGTTATAATTCAGGAATTCACTTGTGGTCCAGCCCAGTAGCTTGCAGGGGATGATGATGTCGTACTCCAGCGTTCGGATCCAGTTTCGGGATGTGAGTTTGTTAGGGAAATTCCACGCGGTCCCTTTTCTTTATCATAACAGTCACTATAGACAGCGAGATTGGCATACACCAAGGGTCCAAAGGCAGCCTGCCAATGGCGACACATGGATGCATGCCCATCAATTCGCAGAAGTGTTGCGATTTCTAATAGATGTTCCAGGGGTAGTGATTCCGCCATAATGCTGAGGCGTCGAGACCATAACACTGAGAAGTTGATTGAACCAGGATGCCCGTTTGAAAAAGGAAAAGAAAGGGACCAATTGGAGAGAATCAAAGAGAAGAGAATTTCAAAGCTTAGCGCCGCGTTACTTCGATGTATCACATTCTTCTGTAAATGTGATAGATCATTACGAGTATTGGGTTAGAGATTCTAATTGCGCCTAAGTGTCAAGCCAGAGGATCTCAATTGATACATATACTAACCGTTTATAAATTTGCAATAGCTCTTCTAAAACCAGTCTATTTTGCCGGAAGGCTTTAACACGCCTACAGCTCAGTGCAGGTGGTTCTTCTCGCCAACATCCAAAGCCACCAAAAAGCGACTAACACAATTATAAGCCGCAATCGTAGCGGTAATCTCAACAACCTCCCGTTCATCAAAGGACCCCTTCAGCTCCGCAAAAACTTCATCAGGCACCGCCACCGTCTTCGTCATGGCATCGGTATACTTCAGCACAGCCCTCTGGTCAGCACTCAAGACAGACAATGCAGCATCATTCGAGAAGTCTGCCTGAGCATCCCCAATAAACTCCAACGCCTCTGCGCTCAACCCACCTTCCGTAAGCAGAGGTGCATGTTGTTCCCACTCGAACAGGGCGCCGTTGACCACTGCGACACGGCAGATGGCTAGTTCGCGGACGACAGTTGTGAGGGTGGTCCGGGTGCGGATTGCGCCAATAAATGAGTTCCAGCCTTCTGTGACCGGGTAGGAGTGCAGGAGGGCTAGGTCGAGGGGGAGGAGCGGGTTTGGGGCTCGGCGAGCTTGGACGCTGGCTAGGATTCTGGCTTCGTCTGGTGTGCTAGTTGCTGGAGGGTCTGCAACATATGGAAGACGCATGATGGTCGGTATGTAGGGGTTGTAGGTGATCTGAATTGGAAGTGGGTTTGTTCAATGGCTGGATTTGGATGGAATCTGGGGTCTGGTATTTGATATCAGTTGAAAGTGACTCATTACGCTGAGACAGCTGAGATAGCTGCTTTGAATGAGAGGCAAGTATAGGTACCTGATTCGAAGCTGCAAGATACTGTTTTAGCAAAATCGGAACAGGCTCTATACGGGAATAAGCAACTATTTATCGGTAACCCCGCGTGGGTCCATATGGAGCGGATCAAAGCCGCGGGAGTCGGGTTTGCGCTTCCGAGTTCCGCATGATTTTGTTTTATTTGCTTGAAAATACAGGTGGTATAGACTTGTGAAGAGCGAACGTGAAGATGTGAAGTGGTGAAGATGACAATGTATACAAGGGTACTCGGTACAGTGCGGGGTGGCTCATTTAATTTCAAGGGCTGCCCTGGTCCAACATCCAATATGTCCAAGGCTTATATTTTCCCTGTTGAACGAAATATTCAACTTAAAGAGTTAAAGCCTTCTCTTCCTCTGTTCAATCAAATTTGACTTTCATCAAGCATCTGCAGTCAGTGCTGTTGGTCTTGGCACATGATCTCCACAAGTTCAGAAGCTTCAAAGGTGTCGTCACCTCTCCTGAACACTGTTCCCCCCAAACAAACATGCCTCCAAAGGGCCCCAAACCAACAAGTGACGAGCTTCTAGCTCAATTTGACGACCTCGGTCTTGACAAATCCGGCAACAAAACATCGAAAGCCACCGTATCCGACAATGCTAAGGGCGGGCAGGAGGACATCCTGGCCGAGCTGGACCACCTAGCCACACAGCGTCCAGCCAGTGGACCGGGTACTCCGCGCCTGTCTGCCGATAAGCCCAGGCCATCTACACGATCCCCCCGTCCGAGTGCGACCATCGACCGAGCGACCGAAGACAAGGCGCCGGTCCGCCAGTCTGAGGAGACCGGCCAGCCTTCACGTGCAGAAACCAAGCCAGAACAGCCGAAGCCTGAGCCTCAGAATGTCCCCGCACAACAACCAGCCGAGGAGAGTGCGGGCTGGTGGGGTGGATGGTCTGGAGGGCTGTTCGCAACGGCCAGCGCGGCTATGAAGCAGGCTGAGGCGGCTGTCAAGGAGATTCAGAATAACGAGGAGGCTCAGAAGTGGGCTCAGCAGGTCAAGGGCAATGTTGGAGCTCTTCGTGATCTTGGTATGGGTCTTCCTACTCAAAACATGGTTTCCTACATGCAGACTGAGCTAATTGGCACACACAGGCGGGGAGCTTCGAGATAGGGCAATCCCGACATTCACCAACCTCATCCACACCCTCGCGCCTCCTATTTCTTCGCATGAACGTCTACAAATTCACGTGACTCATGATATGTCCGGCTACCCGGGCATCGACCCGCTAGTCTATGCGGTATTCTCGCGAGTGATGGCCCAAGTGGAGGGCGGGGACCTGTTGGTGATCCAGCGGGGTCAAGAGTCATCCCCAAAGCGCGGGCTCGATGTTACCGGCTACACGACTAGTGCCGGCTGGAATGACGGGCCCTGGTGGCGGACGGTCACACCTGGACAACCGCGGAGCATCTCTTCCGTGCGAGGCGCCGTGGAAGGTTCCAAGCTCGCTCGAGCCAGCGCCGAATCCTACGCCACGGAGTACTTCGCGTCCCGTGGCGGAGTCGAAGAGGCCGCGAAGCACGCTTCGGAAGTGCTGAGTGAATCGAACCCGGTCCGCAGCAGCGATATCTTCTTGGCTATCCAGGCTATCAGCCAGACTACTTCCAAGGACCTCTTCCAGGCGGGCGCGGCTGCCGAGAAGGCTACCCAAGGAGCCGTGGAAGCTGACACGCAAGAAGAGGAGATCTCCTTTGCGCTGTACCTCCACGACCCCATCCATGGCATTGCCTTCCACGCCATCTCTCAAAGTATCCCGCAGGCATGGATTGAATGGCTCGATGCTTCAGTGCCAGCCCCTGAGAACCCCGACGCCGAGGATGCGAATGTTCAGCGCGTTGTGGTGCCCGAAGCCATCGCCGAGATCATTGAGAGTGGAGGCGTAGATCCCCGCGAGTGGGTTTCGGAGTGGATTGAGGAAACCCTCTCGTTGACCGCTGGTATTATTGCGCAGCGATACGTGGCTCGACGAATGGGCGTCGGTGAGGGAGGTGTCGGCAAGGGCAAGATGCGAGCTGAGCAGGTGTCGACTCTGGATAGCGGCGCAGGCGAAGCTGCGCGCGCACTCTAGGACTGGTGTGATATTTTATACCGAGCTCAAGAGCTGACGCTCTTATTCCAGTATCTCCTGTCGTTTATGTGATACACCCGCTCTGATTGTTTGCACTTGCACCTGCACTAGCTATTTGATGTCTAATTCTGTTCTTCGTTTCAGAGGTTACGCCAGGCTGTCTGGCAGTGAGAATAACAGCGAATGGCCATTATCGAAATCACTTGCGAAAAAAAAAGAAGAAAATCGTATGCAATTCCCGTATGTACAGAACAGACCGGCCTTCCTATTAACCACCATATTATGCATTTTCGAAAACCATTGCGGGTATCGTAATTCAGAATCTGTTCAAGAACCCATTCAAGAATTAAGATCCAGCGGCCCTTCAAGATCAGGGACATGCCAGAAATTGGCTCGGAGGGCAGTCACACTAGACACCGCGTTAGCATATGCGGTTCCAGCAGCGCAGCGCAAAAAGAACCCATCTCTTACCTAGTCGACCCATTGAGCACGGTATGAGCATCCGTGCCTACCTCACTCTCCTGCAACGTCTTCTTCATATCCGACAAATCAGCAGACCACTTAAACTGGCGCTGTCTGGCAGACAGGGCCTGTCCATTAACAGCCGTGCCATTCGTCTCGCCATTGACGTTCACACCGTTCACACCATTCACACCATTCACACCATTCACACCATTCACACCATTCACACCATTCACACCATTCACACCATTCACACCATTCACACCATTCACACCATTCACACCATTAATCTTCTTCCCCGTCCCCTCCTCAGCATACAAACACCCCCGAGACCAATAATACGGCAACGTGCGCGTATACAGCACAGGCCTCTCCTCAACATCAAGAACCATGGGAACATTGATATTATAAAGCTCCACGCGCTCATCCCAGTTCTCAAAAAGATGCCGCACAACCCTAACAGCCAGTCTCGCCGCCGCAGCAATAACATCATCGGGCTGCGGGTCCTTGCTACCAAACGAGACAGCAATTCCACGCTTCCCACAGAAAACCGCCTCCAAGGCACCGCCTACCGTCCCCGAAGACAGGTTGTAGATGGTGGAGGCATTGCGGCCATGGTTCGGGCCCGAGATGACGAGGTCGATGGGCGCGCGCTCGCTGAACAGGTTGTACAGACCTAGTTGCGCGCAGCTGGCCGGTGTGCCGTTGCGGATCACCACCCAGTCGTTTTCCGGGTCTGGGGATTCAAAGCTCGTGTCCCAGCTGCCGTCGCCGTGGAAGGCGTCTGGGTGTACGTAGCTGGCTGTTAGGGAGGCTTCGATTAGGTGGGCTTTGCCGATCCAGGAGCGTGAGGCGGCGGGGATTGCTACGGAGACTTGGTGGCCGTTTGCTTTGAGGGTGTCGACTAAAGGTCGAAGGTATGGTGAGAGCTTGGTGCTTGGTGGACCATCGTCGTTGACTACCTATTTTGGGCTGTTAGTTTATTTGTCTTTCTCTTTTTTTTTAGTTTTCTTTTCTCTCTCTCTCTCTCTTTATCTACGCTGTGCAAACGTATTGCTTTCGGACTGGGAAGATAGAAGGAAATGGGATGAATTGCCATCTGGCGATGATATCCTCCTAGGAGCATGGATCTATAAACAGATCCCTGCAGAAAATAGCTTTCTATACATTTGCCAGGGGAGAGGGGAAAAGAAGATTTCGCCCGATGATCTCACTTACCAGGATGTGCATGACGGGCGGGATTAAGCAGCGCCAAGGGCGTTATGGGCGATATTCGAGATTTCGATTTGGATCTTTTGATTTTGACTCGGTCAAGGTCCCTTGGCGGTTTGGATGGGGATTTTCCTTGTTCTTTTCTAGATTTTTATAAGAGAACAAGAAAAGAAAGAAATATTCTTCACCCCGGAAATATTCGGGGTGCAGGACACTTATACCTGGGGGAATCAGGGTAAGGAATGAGCCATTGGCCACACCGAATTACACACCGGGGCATTGGGGTGAAGCTGTTCAGCGGGGACAATGGTAGGGCCGAATGCAGCGTGCGGTGAACCGATTCGGATTTCTTTCGGCCATATATTTTCTGTTACCTACGGAGTACGGAGTAAATGTGTACGACATGGAGGTAACTACTTGGGGATATGTTGGGGAATAGAGAGTCAATAGGATAGCTTATTTAGGATGTTAATAGTTCATCTATGTTCATTGTAGATGTTGTCAAGTCACTCAGGTACATATATGTATGTACATACATATATAGAAATAGATGTCAAGTGCAATGTAGTTATCATGGATATATGGATATAACAGTCATCCAATCTGCATAGATATGCACGTTGTATACTCCGCACTTCTATACTTCTTCTGACCTGCAGGGTTTTATACAACATGGAAGTTTAAAGCCCTGGGCCGGGGGAAAGATGAGGTAATCGCAATTCTGCAACTTACACGGTAGAATAAGGTCTGGGAAGTTTCAAATGTTTGTAAGTTTTATTTTGATTTGAAGGACAGACTAAAGTACGGAGTACGGAGTACTGAGGGGTCACTACATTTTAATATGCATTGTCATCGAGTAACTTCGCAGGTTGGACCATTCATAGCTCAGGGGGTTGCCACGGACGGTTGATCTGACACCATCGCCTCTCGTAAGACCAGTAAGACCAACGTGTTGGAGCTCATGGAGATCAACATGCCGGTATAGAGTCTACACATTGTGACAATTGGCTTTCTTACATATGTATATGTATATATCCCCCATAGTTTTATAACTCAGGGATTCAAAAGATTTAAATCCAACTCTTACGAAAACCTTTCTATTTTCCATAAATAAAAGGGAAATCCCAATGTGGTCTGTGCCGCCAGCACGCTAAAGACGATCGCAGAAAATCTTGAGGTGGGGAATCCGGCCCTTCAACAAATCTTCTGGCCCCTCAACTCTCTCCTCTTCAAGTCACACCACTATATCCATTCGATACTTCGACACATCGACACGTCTTCGCCTACATAACTCCAATCAGCTGAACCCGCAAAGTCTCAAAAAGCGAAGTCTTTTTGTGATCTTTGCTCAACGAGGCCGTCGCCGCAACCTCACCCTCTCATCCTGTATGGACTGTGGAAGTACTGGGACCGCTGCGGGGATCGACCCCAAAATTCTGGACAATTGGCAAACTGAGGGCGCTTTTTCTGTCGCCTCGTGGGAACATCTGGGCTACGACCAACCGCCTGAGTGGGACACCAGCCAGGAATCAAGCCAGTGCGATGCGGATATCGCGGATCTAGGTACCTTCCATGGTCCATTGGCTGGTGAATTCCGTCATCTGGAGAACAGGTCCGGCAACTCCTCCCTGATGTGAGACCATGAAGTGCGATGTTGATCTGGCTGACACTTGTTTTGTTGCAGAAAGCATGATGTAGCACCCGAGAACTTGAATTACGATGGCCTCATCGAGGGTACTGGCAGTGGCACTCTCAGCCCCAAGACCATCCCATCTTCCGCCGACGAGAACTACCATTCCGACGAGGCTTGGCCACACTTTCAACTGTACAACTCCGTGAGCATGCCAATGGATGCATCTATTCTCTACCCCTACGCGAAAGGACCGAGCCACTCGAATGGCGCTGTCATTGTCGATGATGTTGGGGAGATGCCTCACGGGGGTTTCCCGGATGCCCCAGCAGAGGGCATCATGTCGTTCCAGCAGATTCCGCAGTCCTTCCCCGTCATTCCTGAGGAGTGGACTGAGATTCAACCTGGCATGCCTGTGGACCATATGCCTCTGCCGCAAGAGTCCATGCCACTCTCTGCGGATGCACAGGAGAACCCAAAGGATCACTCCCTGCGCGGGTTCCAGACTTCTATCAGATCGCTGGAATCGCGATGGCTCAATAGTCTGGAATCCCAACTGCCCACCCAACACATCACGCCGGTTTCTCAAACCCCTGGCCCGCGAAATGCACAGATGGGACAGGAGTTCCAATTCAAATCTGAAAACTCTTCAGTGTCGGGTGATTTGTCGGGAATATACGAGTGCTCCTACTCCGCCACTAGCGACGATGCCCCGCCATTTGCAGACCGTCAGTTGGAAGACGACGATGTCCAATGGAAGACCTCACCGCATGAATCCACTTCACCGGAGGAGTCGCAGCCAGCATTCATCACCACTGCCTTCATGGTGAGTGAGACCCCCACGGAGTCTCTAGTCTCCACTGTTCCTTCGAGGTCGAGGGCTTCGTCGACTGCTGGCCAGCGTGCCGGTCGACCGGCACCACTTGCCATGCAGACCTCGGCTACAGTCAAGAAGCGCAAGGCCAGGAATCCTGCCTCAATGGATCAGGGTATCGCGAGGCCGTTGCAAATTGTCCAGGAGGATGGCCAAGGAGGCTCCATTGCGTCTGCAGACTTTGTCTCGCCCCCACGTGGTGCTCGTCGCAAGGGCCCATTGAGTATGGTTGGACGGGCCAATGCAGGCCTGCGCCGGAAAAACAAGGATACTTGTGTTCAGTGTCGGCTGAACAAGCGCAAGGTAAGGATTTCCACCTAAATTCTATATTTCCATAAAGCTAACGTATTTGCAGTGTGACGGAAGTGCCCCCTGCGATGCTTGTCGGCCCACGCTTCACGAGCAACCATGCGCTCGTGCATGCTTCTCCAGTATTGTCGAGTTTGGAACTTGCAATTACATCTGTAAGCCTCGATCAAACCTCCCGTTGGGTTGTTGAAATTGACTGACCCTATCTAGCTCAACGAGCTGTTAACCACCCTACGGTGGATGGTTCCAACCGAGTCCGGATGGAGATTCCATCTGAATTTGACCTCAGTCAACTCTTGTCTTTGCTCGCTGAGCGCCAGGGCCGGTTCAACATCCGCGCTAGTCAGGCCTGGGGCTCTCTCTATGTCCTCGACCTGGGAGAAACCTACAAATTCCTGAAGACCCTGAGCGAGTACAACGGCAACTCGAAGTCAACTTTCCTAGAGTTCATCGACCGACGAATTGTGGACTCGAAGGACAAGTCCAAGAACTGGCTGTCCTGCGTTGCCGACTGCGACCCAATGAACCAAGCCTACGTAGGTGTCCACTCACCCACATCCCAAGAGCATACAGGCTAACAATCCTCAGACACTTCTGTCCCAATGGAACAACATGCCCAGCCGTGCGAAATACAGCTTCGTGTCCCTTGACCCAACCGGCGAAGAACGAACAATGGACATCAACAACCCAGAAGACCAACGCGAGATCCTCCTCGCAGCGCAACTCTCCCGAATCTTCTGCCGCATGCTCGAAGTCGAGGGCTTCCGCAAGCTCGAGCGCGACTTCTACAACATAAAGTGGAAGCAGATCTCCCACGAGACGCACGTACGCTTCCTTGGCGAACTCGGCCACATCCTGCTAACGCTGCGGTGGCGCGTAAGCTGGTGGAAGCGGCTCGGCGACGGCGGCCAGAACCCTGACCCCACCCAGCAGCACTACATCGACCGCGTCGAGCTGCTTTGCCGCATCCTCTACGTCTACTACACATGCGTTATGGCGAAGCTGCCCTCCTGGTCGGCGGCCGACGTCCCCAAGGGCATCTGGTCGACGTACGCGGACTCGGAGAACGCTGTCTGGGATGATTTCCCTTCTGACTCCAGTGACGACGGCTTCAATGGTTGGATGGAGCGTGGCCAGGATCTGATTGAGCAGGCTGGTGTTCCAAGCCGCATCTCGAAGTTCTGAGATCGGGGATGGCAGACCTTGTCTGCGAATATGGTTTGGATGGTAATGGCATTGGAGTTAGAATTATAGATACCCTTTTTTCCCCGTTTATTTCCTTTTCTTCGAGGTTTCGTTGTTTCTATTGGATACATCATGGCTTTTACATACAAGCTCTGCCTTATGATTTGATGATTTTGCAAATGTGTTTATCTTGTTCGGTTGGTGTTTTCACAATTTGTACATAGAATTACCATTTCGATATGTCTCTACTTCATCTCACATCCATGGCATACAACCTACCTATCCTCTATGCATACATGTAGATATATACCACCCAAACCAAAAAGACAATAGAAACTGGGTATCGATTTCATGCACTCATATAATGAGCTCTAGACTAGATAGACGATCAACAAAGACCGCATCAGACAAAAAAAAAACATATCAATCCATTAAATTCCCCGCACTTCAAGTCGCCTTCTTAGGACCAGACTTCAAAGTCCCGTCCTTGCGAGCTGCATTACGCTCCTTCTGCAGACGATCCTTCTTCCCACCAGCCAGCAGCTCAAGATGGCCTGCCTTTGTCGCCAGACTGCGTTCTGTCATTGAGACGAGGCCAGATGTGAGTTTCTAAAGAGCGGTGTTAGTAGTGTTCTTGCTTTTGTGGTGTTGTCTTTTCTTGTTCTTGTCTCGCAGGATATAGACTGCAGTCTGGATCGAGAAGAATCGGGAAGTGAGTCCGTGCGTACCTTGGTCAGTTTCTTCTGCTTGATCAGGCCGGCTTTCTTGGGCGCGACGGAGCGGACGCCTGGTCTCGTTGTCTTGGAGGGCCTGATAACGTCAACGTGTTAGGTAATTGCTTAATTTCTCCTAGGTGCACGCATGGGACTGGCATCGATGGTGGTTTTGTGTCCGTCTGAGTGGCACTTACTTCCTGCCTGGGCCGGTGGGACCGGCCTTTTTCAATGATCCTTGCACCATGGTTGTGTTGGGGTTGGGGCTGGAATGGAGGGAATTGGTATGTAAATGGACAAGTGAAAG